TATAGTTGGCAACACGTCCTTTAATGAGGTCAACAAAAAGAAGAGACTGATCAAGAACGTTGATATCATTAAAAGATCCAGGTATACCAAAAAAAAGCATGCCATATCCACAAATCATACGAGGCCACTGCCTCAAGTATAATTGTTGGTTTATGTACATGCCCAGTGAATTGACCATGCCATGCAGTATGGCAATTCTTCCATTTCCAATGCATACAATCCAAACTCCCTAACATTCCAGGAAATCCACGTTTCTCCCCCTCCCGTAGCAGTCTGGAAATGTCCGCCTCAGTCGGCGATCTCAGATATTCTTCACCATAAATGCTAATGATTCTTACACAGAATCTCTTCAAAGACTCAATTGTTGTGCTTTCACCAATTCTCACATATTTGTCAATAGCATCAGCGGGTATACCGTAAGCAAGCATCCGAATTGCCGCAATCATCTTCTGCAAATCGGTTAATTTGGGAAAACCGACGGCGTCAATCTTTTGGACAAAGTAGTCATCATATTGTTCAATCGCATTTAATATACGAAGAAACAATGGACGATTCATTCGAAAGCGTCTTCAAAAGATGTTAGCCGGGTAGACATGATTTTCAGCAAAGTAATCTTTGATTAGTCGCTCGTTACCAGAGACTCTATCATGATGGATGTATCGCTGACCACTTACAGAACCAACATGCATAGTTGGTTGGTTGTCTCGTTGCATCTTCCTTCTATGAAACTTTGATGCCATAAGTTCCATAACCTCTGCGCTTTGATCTTCATCAGATGAAGAATCATTAAAATCTTCTCTCAAAATCGCTCTTCTCAAATTGAACATTGCAGTACTAAAGTTATAATGAAGGAAGATAGTTTGTAGGTAGAGAATGATGGTATTTATAGATGGAGAAATGATAGTAGAGAATGGTAGCTGGGAATATTAGTTGAAAAAGAATGGTAGCTGGGAATGGTAGTTGAAATGATAGTTGGGAATGTTAGTTGAAAAAGAATGGTAGTTGGGAATGGTAGTTAGGAATGGTAGTTGAAAAATAATGGTCGTTGGGAATGGTAGTTGGGAATGGAAGTTGAAATGATAGTTGAGAATGGTAGCTGGGAATGGTAGTTGAAAAAGAATGGTAGTTGGGAATGGTAGCTGGGAATGGTAGTTGGGAATGGTAATTGGGAATGGTAGTTGAAATGATAGTTAAAAATGGTAGTTGAAAAAGAATGATAGTTGGGAATGGTAGCTAGGAATTGTACTTGGAAATGATAGTTGAAAAAGAATGGTAGTTTAGAATTGAGAACGAGAATAGAGATGGAGGTGATTGGGGAGGCTAAAATAATTTGCCCTAAAACTATTTTGCTTTTTAATGATAATATAATCAAATATATAATATATATATATATAAATTCTCGAAAAAAAAAATTAAAAATATATATATCATTTTGTTTTATCCTTTTTTTTTTTTGTTCTTTTTTGACAAGATATTTTAGATTTTTGCTTCTTTTTAATTAGGTTTAATTTTAGTTTCCTTCTAATGTTTACAACTTGACTTGGAATGTGACTAATATTAATATTAGTGATGCAAATATGAATGGTGAGAATGGTAGTTAAAAAAAAATAGTGGTTGTGTCAAAAAATAGCATTTTGCATGAAATGCACCATTGGAGCATAATTGCTAAAATGTAGTATTTTGACACTGTAACACCTGTCAAAATATAGATTTGGCATGCAAAAATGGCTTTTACCATTAGAGATGCTCTTAGGATCTATTTGGCACGTGTTTTGTTTTTGTCGGGTACTGTAATAGTGAATAGTGAAAAAACACATATTTAGTAATAAAAATGTTTTGTTTAGCATAGTACTGAAACGTTTCGTGAATAGTGGCCAAAAATCACAAATATCAATTTGACATTTTTACATATTTCAGCACCGTAACAATGGATGCGGTAGCTATCCACAGTAAAAAAATAATTAAAAAAAAAAAAAACTCTTAAATGACATTTTTAAATTAACTATTATATTTTCAAACTTGTAATACTTTTTTACCAAACATGTTTTCATATTTTTACTTCAAAATTTCTCACAATATATAAACGATACTAAACACGCTTTCAATTACTATTCAAATTACTCTATAACAAAAACACTTATTTTGTTTCTTTTATATAAAAACACTTATTTTGTTTCTTCTATATTTTTTCAGGTAAAACCTCAATATAGAGCACTTGGCCATTGTATTGACCAAAGTGGGAAACAAGCACATGTCAATCACATGGGTGTACCTTTTGAATGTCTACAGGGTTATAATCAATCTACAGTCCAATCAATAGTGAGAAATTTATGGATTCCTTTTCGGACAGAGACTTTTTTTTTTTTTTTTACTCCACTCTCCAAGTGTGCTTGTTCTCTTTCCTTAACTACATTAAACATGATTTGATGATACGTGAGGCAATGAGCAAACTTCCATGTCTTGCAAACAATGTCTTAATGAAATAGGGGATGTAAATTAGTTGCGCATGGCCCCACTATTCTGTGTCTCACCATTTAGATTTTATTTCTTGATATAATCACACATAATACTTGATAATGGTTCGGTATCATCCTTGTTTGTTAATAGAAATGCACCTACAATGACTGCTCATGGCATTTGAGCTCTCCAATTTCAGCTTTTCTACAACTATTTGATTCCCATGGCATACCAAAAAAACTGTGATGGGGCAAATTCAATGTGCCTCTGGTTTAGATACAAATTAATGTACATTAACTGATCATTCGTTTTTTCCCAGCCATGAAAAAAAAAAAAAAAAAAAAAAAAAAAAATTCTCTCTTTGAACCAAACCTCTTTTAGATTAAGGAGTTAATTCCACACATGCCTGTATTTGTAATTTCATCACATGATATGATATTGTCCGTGTTGGGCTTGAGCTTAATTTATGTGGCAGACTACCAGTACATCTTGATATTATCAGCTCACATCACCATATGGTTGTACCTGTACTTGTAACTCCACCACATGATATGATATTGTCCGTTTTGGGCCCTAACTAAATGTGGTAAGCTACCAGTGCGTCTTGCATTTGCCATGGCACATCCGTACAGTTCACCACATGGTATGATATTATCCGCTTTGGTCTCGAGCCCCGCACTTATAGCTCGTCCAATGTAGTAGTATCATGTTAGTGCATCTTGCATCCGCCCGCAAGGTTGTCACAATCCCACCCCTAGAGACCCAACGTTCTTGTTGGCCACACTTTTGACTAGGGTAGGCTCTGATACCATTTATAACCATCCACTTCACCACATTTTATGATATTGTCGACTTTGGATCCGAACCTACATAATTTTGTTATTGGATTAACTCTAGAAGGGTTAATACCAATTGGTGGAGTGTACAAATCTTACATATATAGCACTTCCCTTTTCTATACTCAGACGATATGGAATTGTGTGTTTATAGCTCGCCTAGTATGATTGCTTGTTAGTGCCTTTTACACCCGCCCATAAAGTCACTACACTGACTTAGCGCTTATATACAACTAAGTGCCTCCGAAGATTTGAATACCTAAAATATCATGGAAAAAAAAATGGAAGTATGAAAGAGTTTTGTGAATTAAACTCTTAAATTTATTTAAATAAAAGAAGACCATTTTACTAATTTCACCTGCGGACTAAAAGTTCTGTGACTATTTGTTCTTTTACTAACTTTTTGGTAATAATATGAGTGGTTTGATAATATAGGGGTAAAGTTTGAAAAAAATGAAAATACAGGGTTTTGTGAATTGAAACCACAAATGACGAAGAATACTATTTCTTTAATTATTTAATGCCGGTACGTAGAAATTTGAATTCAGGGAGTTGAATCAGTCTAGAGTTCCAATGTCAATATTCCAACTCTTTTAACTATTGTACGTAGGTTAACTTAATTCACTGCAAATTAGTAGTCAACTTTCTACAAATTCTATGCTCTGTACATTGTATCTTGATTACATAGAACAGAAGACAGACCTAAATGCCACTAATACACTGAATCACCAAAACCTTATATATATATATATATATATACACACACACACTCATCTAAAACAATGTTATCTCATCCATATTCCAACAAATTTTATGTTCTGTACATTGCATCTTGATTACATAGAAGATTAGACAGACCTAAATGCCCTTCTAAATTTCTAATACACTGAATCCATCATAACCATACGGACCTAAAACAATGTTATCATATACATACCTTATGAAGTAAATTTAACTAATCTAGTTAACTAATAATAAATCGTCTTCCCATTGGACCTCATCGTTCAAGAGTAAATTTGATGAATGGTAGTTGATTAGTTAGTTGTAACTAAAATAATTCAAACTTAGTTGTGCAGACAGTTTGACTCGTAAAGTTTTTTTTGGAGATTTGAGTCATACTGAAAGTAAGACATGGATTTAAATGATGCACGTGATTTGTAGACAATTGCATGAACTACCTAAAATAATATAACCTCATTCTTATTCTAACAAATTTTAAGCTGCGTACACCGTATCTTGATTGCATCATTATGTCGAGTTAATTGATGAATTTTAGTTGATTAATTAGTTAGTTGTTATTAAAATAATAAAAGTTGGGCCGGCATGGGCAATTCGGCTGGTAAAGCCTTTGATACCCTTCTTAGGTCATTGGTTCATGTCTCATGAACTAGAAACCCAAAACACATGATCTATAAATGATTTTATGTGTTCAAATAGGTTGGCGGATGGGTTGATTTTTATAATAAAATCTTCTAATACAGATTAGATTCTGATTGAATCTTCAATCAAGTTGGAGTTGGACAACCAAATAATGTAAATATCTTCGAAGATATAACAACATGATATAATTTTGCATTCATCTGAACTACATGTATAAACTAACATCATAAAGAATATATGACATCATTTGGGGAAGAGAGAGAAATAGTATGACATCTTCTAAATCAAGCAGAGTAAAAAAAATAATATAATAATTAAAACAATCCATGACAAAGGATATATTCTACTCTTAAAGACATTAATTAAAAATAAATACAAATTTAATATCCATTGGGAAGGCAAATTATCTTCCATGTATAGGGTTCTATCCAACCTAACATGGGAGGCACACGTTACAATTCAAGCAAGTATTACCTGCTTGATTTCATAAACGAACACCAAAACAAACAAAAAATACAAATAATAATAAATAAAAAAAAAGATAAAAAAGAAAAGGTCTAGATGAATAGAGAAATTAATGAGTCTTTTTGTACTCCATTAATTTCACTAGCAATATTTGGATGATCCATCTTTTGGAACATTCTTGAGTGAGCTTTTCACACGAAGTCCAATACCCTTGGCATCTGATCTCTTCATGATCCTCAGCCTCTTGCATGATTCACTAAACATTCTGCAAATCATAGTATATAATTGATTATTAATTTTTGTATTTTTAATTAACAAATATCATTTTAGGTATAAAAGAGAAGCATTTTGATGACATAGTTGTAGTAATCATTTACAAAAATGGCATGCAAAACATATATAAAGGTTGGCATCAATATTGATATTATTCCATATATATGGCTCTAATTGAAAATTAATAATAATATATAACACAACTACCAAATATGGTCTCATTAATTTATACCTCCTAACCGGCCTTGTTTGTATCTCGAAATGTGGTCTAAAAGCCTTCTGTGTAATCATAATCTCATTTCGTTGACAAGGTATGCTTGTCAAGGACTTTTTTGTCATCTAATTTAACATTTTTATAGCTACTGCTTTTTGTCGGCAACAGTTAATTTAAGTAAAAATGGTTTTTATATTTACGGGTCATAATATAATTGTACATTTGGTATCTGTTTGACCCAAGTCAAAAATGATATTAAAAATATACCGTAATATTCAGACTTATTAGTTAAGTCTTTTTGTCAAGTGAAATAATAAAAATTTAGGCTTAAAACGGAATCCGTTTAAAATTATTACAAATAAACTTAACGAATTGGCCTAAATATTTTCATGACATCGTATCTATGGCCGGCCCAAGCCTACGAATAACTTTCCTTCTTATTATAGGGTATTACTAGAAAAGCATATTTTCCATTGGGCAATAAATTTTGAGGGTCTCCCTCTGTATACGCACACAAGGTAGTCTGTAGAAATGAAGTTGGTATATAAATAATTAAATTCAAAGCACATATTATTCACGATATATAATCTATCATATATGGCATAATTAAAATGAAGTTGGTTGGTAATTGAATAGAGACTTACTCCCATGGTACGTCTCCAACTAGCATCCAGTCTCCATCATTGTCTTCATAGATTGGTACGAATTCCGAACTTTCTGCATCCTTCAACACCTCACCTGTCCACATATCAAAAAATTAAATTAGTTCACATACGAGGATAATTTATACAAATAATTGGATACTTATACTCAATTGTCTCTCTCAACATGCTCCATTGCCTTATAATCACATTTTAATTTCGTTCATCTTTTTCTACATATTTTCATTTATTGTTTAGACATATACATAAGGGCATATGTTTATATCATTTGCTTTAACAATACCGTGTTCTACGACCAGACGTTCTTAAAACAGAGGATCCCAACTCGTGTTTATATGATTACGTACATAGTTATTTCATAATTTTAAATAATTATACATGCATATATATATATATATATATATTAAATTGTAATGAGTGATAGATTATGGTATATATAATTCTGTGAACTAATTAGCCCTAGATGGAAAGAAAAAGCAAAAGAAGAGAAAGTGGGGTTTTGATGAGAGCACTTACCAATGCCAAAACAACCAAAGAGCTTCTGAAGAGCAAGTGCTAGATCAGGGTAGCCTGCATGAGTATTCAAATCAATCTTGCGAAGAAAAGGAGCTCCATCCATGCTCACTTTCACGTACATCTTTGATGCCTCATTGCCACCATTACAACTATTATTTTTCCGGTACGTGCACACCGGCGGCCACCCCACCACTTGATTCTTCTTTTCCGTTTTCCGGTCACAAGTCCGATCACCGGAGGATATATCGGAAAACACCCTCTTCTTCTCATTTTTCTCAATTGAATTAGGGTTACCACCCGGAAGCCCTAGCCGGAGCTCAGTTATTTCGAGTCCAAGACCTTCTTTCGCCATTTCCGGTGAGGATTTAGACTTTTTTAGGCACTTGGTCTAACCTTTTGTTTTTTTCTTGTTTGATTCACTAGGGTTTGGTGGTTGTTTTGAGTTAGTTAATGAAACGGCTAGTTTTTATACAAGGAGCGAAGAGAGGACATGGTGGAGCAATGACAGGTCAACTTGGGCTTAGTGGTCGGTCACATGAGATACAAAAATGGGGTCCATATTGCCACTAAAACACTATTAAAGGCCGACAATCTTAAAGTTGGGCATGGGGCAGATCCTAGGGCTGTTGATCTTTGATGATTTGGTGGGCAATGATCAGGACCGTCGGATTTTGAGAATTGGAACAAGCCATGTGATCTGCCTGATTTACGGGGTCTCAGCAACATATATATATATATATATATATAAGTTAATTATTATCATCATAATTATTTAATTGACGACTAACACCACAACAAAGCATAGAAGGTAATTGTAAGACAGACATGCCTACCTGTCTTTGTATGCATTCCTCAATATGGTGGTGTTATTAGCTAGCTTGCAGATTGATTAATTGTGTGTGTATAAAAGCGTGTCACATGAACTGTTCTAATTACGTGAATTAGCTGTGGCACACACAAAATTAACACTTGGACACGAATTAATATGAAAATAATGTTAATAAAACATACTATTAATTTATATTACACATACATACAAAATGTACACACTTAAATGATCATGTACGTATAAATTGAGGTCGTGGGACTTGATAGGTTAGTCAGAGAAGCAGGAATAGCCCAAATATGGGACCCGGTCCAGTTCCAAGAATGGGCTTCCAGCACAGCCCCAAACAACGGGACCATGTCCAGTTCATATACGTGTGAACTTCCAGCACAGATTCTCCACACGCTTTGGGGGGACCCACCAGCTTCTAAAAGTTCTGACTAAGGCTTGACGAGTCATGAATAGGCTGAAGAGCTCCAGTTCGATTTTATTAAGATACGGCTCAAATTTATTTGTTAACCCAACAAGTTGAACTCGAATTTGATTTTCAAAAACTCATTCGATGAATGAGTTGAATCTAAATAATTTATAATTTAATTCGCTAGGCTCAGAAACATATTCAAGAATGAATATCCATGATTTTTTTTTTTTCTTTTTTTGATCGAAGGTTCAAGCAAAATTCATCAACATATTCATAAATATGTATTTGTGAGATTGTTTTGAGCAAACTAGATAAAAGACTTGGAACATATATGTCTGTAGGACATATCTTTGAGACATTATTTCTTTCCTTAACGATCTTGATATAAAGCTTGAGTTTGAGCTCGAGCTTGATATTGGATATTAATCAAAATTGAGTAAACAAGTCAAGGAGAAGAGTTTGAGTTGAGCAAATAATGTTTCAGCCAAGCTCAAACGGTCTTGTATAGGTTAGGCTAGACCTCTGGATTACCAGCTTGCGAGCTTAAACAACCAAAAGATCAGCTTAATTGAAATATATTGTGATTTTTTTATTATTCTATTGACATTTTAGCTTTTGTTACAGTTAGTGAAAGAATAGAAATAGTGTGCAAACAAGTGGTGCTTAGTGCTGGGAGTAGTAAAAAAATTTCACCTAGTATGAGCATTTTTATTTTGGTTAAATGTATATAATTTCAATATTCACTGCATCAACTTCAACATTTCTCATCTTATCACACTCAACATTTACGAATTTTTTAAAAAGTTTGTGTTAGATTATAAAAGTATTATATTACCTCTGTTTTAAAAAGAATATCTCTTTTAAGAAACTGTGATTCATAATTTGTAAGTCACTATTCTCCAAAAAAGACATTTATTTTGAGAGAGATGGAGTAATATCCCTTACCTACAAATTAAGATTTACACACCTACACCTATACCTACCCAATTACCACATATACCTCTACCTACCTAATTACCATGACTTGATCATCACTCACTTACCCCCAAATTTTCTCGTATGTATATATATATATATATATATATATATATATATATATATATATATATATATATAAGTTTTTCATGTATTCAATTCATTAATAATACAATATAATATTTTTCAATTCCTTTATTTCTAAGAAGGTACCAGAGTTTTCTATCATTGGTAAACAGTTTATCAGTTTATTGTAGTCATCGCTGGGAATGGCACATCAACCCTATCCCTGGCGGTGGCAAACTCACGCTTACAAACTTACACCTTCCGCACGCCAAGATCTTCATAGCAATCAACTGGTAAACTTATGCTTCTGCATACCAAGATCTTCATATGCCCCGTCTAGGGAAGTCTCGTTGTTCAAGTATTCTTCCAAGAAACTCAACGAGATGCCTCATTTAGAGAAGTCCCCCACTATCACGCCCCAAATTCCCAAAATCCGATCCATGATGAATGAACAAAGATATCACAAAAATAATAATCATATAATAACAAAAATATTTAGGGATGCCCCATATAGGGAAGCCTCATTGTTAAAGTCTTCCTCAGGGAAACCCAATGAGATGCCTCATTAAGATATGCTAATCATATCGGATCAGCTCCGTCAATGGGCCACCATGAACCTCAAGTTGTAATCCTAGTCTTTCATGCACAACAACGATAATCCCGCACTTCAACGTGTCGGATCAGTTCTGTCACCGCGCCATCAATGGTTATCATCCGTTTCCCAAAGCACTATCAACATGGCAAATCTTCACAAATTCGTCACCTATATGCCACCGCGCCTCAATGTGCCTCAAGTGGTCTTCACACTCTACCACCTCTTTTATTATCTTGTTTCTAAACTAAAATTGTTTCATACTAATCTCGAGTTTGAGGGGGTTGCTAGATTATAAAAATACTATAATATCCCTTACCTACAAATTAGTGTTTAGACACATACACCTACCCAGTTACTATATATACCTCCACCTACCTGGTTATCATGCATAGATGATTTGATCATCATTCACCTACCCCAAATCTTCTCTTTTGTATATAGTTTCTTTGTGTATTTAAATTATTAGTAATACAACATAATATTTTCCAATTTTTTTATTTTTAACGATTTGAATTACTTGAAAAATTCATGAAACTCAGTACAATACGATGCAGATGGAATGTTTTTTTTTTAGTTAAAGGTTCAGTTTGTTGTGACGACCCTGGATTTTGAAACCCAGTGCGTCTTGTGCTGACCCATTGATGGGTCCAAATGCGGAAGCAAAGTATCGGAAATATGACAAAAATAGTCCTAAGGTCAAAATGGTCATTTCTAAAACTATATAGATTTGGGTATTGCCGAGGACACCGCTAGAAATACAACAAAAAACTAATCGAGATGGACTCAAGAATCGCATGATTCGGAGTCCGAACGAAGGAGAAACGACAAAACAAAGAAAAACGAGCAATAAAGCTAAAAAAGTAAACTGGTAATTATCCAAAAATATCTGGGTGTAACCTAGCACACAGTTGGATAGACAATGAAGAATTAATCAATTTAAAAAAAAAAAAAAATTCACTTGATTTGGAGTCCGAATGAAGGAGAAAGGTCAAAAACAAAATCGACGTCGTAACGGCCCGACGAAGGCCGTGACAGCTACAGTGCCATCAACCCACTACTGTTGCAATTGAGAGTAAAAACAAGTATCTAAACGGACTTTTTTGGAAAAACTTAAAGAAGAAACCCCCCCTAAAATCAAGTTTTCTACCCGACCTCACAGACGGAAACCAAAAAAATGCACTGTGAAATGCCCAAAATACTCTTAAGAAAATCAGGTCTAGAAGTTGAAAATCTTTTCAAGCTACTGCCCAAAGAAAGGAAATGGGACTTCGGAAGGTTTTTAAATTGCCTAAATTGAAAATGCAATCTTAAAATACACCCACAAGACCCCCGGAAGTTTTAGATCGGTTATCACACTTTTCAAAAAAAAGTCGATGAATAGTACCAAGTACATTTGCACTAAAATCGGCAAAAAACCTAGCAGTAATGATTTTTCAGAAAAAAAAAAAAAAAAATAGATTTTTAAGGACTAAGATGGCATTTTCTAAAAAAACACAAAGAAAAAACCCCCCTCAAAATTGAGTTTTCTACATGACTCACGAGGAAAAATGAAAAAAACGCATTTTGAAATACCCGAAATGCCACTGGAACATAATAAGGTAAAACTCCCTAAAAATGCTACTTAGAGTTTTTGGTTCATCAAGGATGGTGTTGTTTGCCAAAGTGAGTATGCAAGTACATGCAATATGATAAAATAGATGTACCAACATGGCCTAAAGCCTCTTTACATTCCATTAACAAGTTTTAGCATACAAAGCCTTAATTTCTCACAAATAAGCTACAATGGCAATACTTGAGTTTTAAAGAGAACATGCTTGTAGTCTTTCATGTTAATGGCTCTTAGCCTCATACTATACATACAAAACAAGCATCAAAAGAGTACTTAGATACACATTACATGAAGGAAGCCATCTTAGCTTCTAAAATACCATACATCCATGGTATGCAAAAGTATTACATCAAAAAGATAAAACATGCTAAACAAGTGCATGCTAATATACAAAAATGCTTCAACTAGCTCAAAAGCTTCTAAGGATGATGAGCATCCATGAACATGATCTCTTTACCTGTAAAACAACCCAAACCATTAGGGTGAGTAATCAAGTTACTCGTAAGATGTGGTGCATGCGCATACCGTATAGTTTCAAGTATAATGTGAACCAAACATAGACCATCACAAAGGTGCATTCCACCTAACGTCTATGTTCCCATTGTGCTCTAAGGGATCATCTCAAGCTATACAAATGTTGGAACGGTAAACGCATAACATCCAAGTATACATAAGCAAGTACACTAACCACATTAAAACTAAGATTTACCAAATCACAAGTTACAAGAAATCCATGATTTACAACTTGGAAAGTAATGCGAAATCAAGTAATGGAAAGACTATGATATGTGGCTACGAGACCATACAAGTTATTTTGGGTAATTATGACTCACAAGGTACTACCTAGTGCGCACTATGACTTGGGAGAATTCATATCCTCCGTACTAGAGCCAAACTCTAGCCATCAAACATTTCATATCCTTACAAGCTTCCAAAAATCAAC